GTGGATATGAACATGTGGACTACAGTCTGTTCTTTGATGGTTTTTGCCTTTCTCTGGCAAAATTGACTGCTCACTACGTTAGATGATGGATTGGAAAGAAGTGTAAGTACTTTCATTCACTCTAGCTTTGTGTGCCTATGTGTCCCAAGGGAAAGGTCAATGGTACTCCCCCCTTTTTACTTTATTTCCCTCCCTTGTATAGATAATATTTCTGTTTCTGTTTCTGAAAGTGATTTGTCCAAGCATGCATGCTACTTAGTGATATGAGATGCTGTTCATTACTGCAAGAACCACATGCACAGCATGCCGTGTCTGTGTAGGTGTGTTGCAGTGGGGTTGAACAGGTGGACAAGCAACAGAGAGTGTAGGCACTTGGGCATGTTCTTTATGGATAGTGTCCATCTAGAAACTGAGCCAGCTTCTTGTGTAAGAGAGATAGGAGAGACAGAGAGGAAGAGAGTGAGCGAGAGAGACAGGCGAGAAAGAATGAGGCGAGAGAGAGAGAGAGAAAGAGGCAAGAGAGAACGAGGTGAGAGGGAGAGAGGGAAGGGGTGAGTCAGGGAGGGGAGGGCACATGGGATAAGCAATTAATTTCCCCATTAGTGTACAAATGTGCATACAAGGTGGAGTAAAGCTGTTAGTGCACATTCATTTATTGGTTCATCACATCACAAGGTCTCTCGTTCACTCTCTCCTTCTCTGCCCTTTCTTTCTCCTTCTCATTCATTATGCCAACACATGGAGTGTGTGCGTCCAAGGTGAAAGGTGAAGGGTCCCCACTCTTACCACTCCATCCATTTCCCCTCCCCACTACTCTAGCATTGCAGAATTTGTATTTTTTTTGAAGTGCACACAGACTGATTATGCAAACTAAGTTTGGTTTTTATTTTAAGGACATATAAAATAATGCAGGTAAGCTGAGATTCTGAAAAAGTATTGTTCTTCCAGACATTGGATGTTGTATTTGAGCTGCAATTATCATAGATATGACTAATCACAGGTATTCTTTGGGTTTTTGATGAGCTGAGAAATTCACATGAGATATATATATATATATATATATATATATATATATATATATAGTAAAGCCAAAGATTTATGTGTATCGCTAGCACCACAAGCTGACACACTAGTCACAATACAATGATGCAGCATGACATAATATGACAAAACAATACACTGTGATACAATTTAATAAAATATATATTATATTTTTATGTGTTAGGGATATGTATTAGGGAGGTTACAATACAATATATCTTAGTAAATTATATCACAGAGTATCATATCGTTTTGTGTTGTACCATGACTAGCAAGTTGGCATGTAGCTAGTTTGTTAGCTTGGGGATAACATATTAGCTTGTGGCCAAAGTGTTTAATTGGAGCATCATAAAGCACATTTTTGTTTAAAAAGTTATACTTTTACAATAATGAATACTCCAGTGAGCTGAAAATGAAAAAAATGAACAAATTAATGTGTTACATTTTTAGACAGTCCTTATTTTGCTCTATTGAAAATGTACTGGATTGAGACACCACAGAAATCGAATTTAATTCAGAAATTGATTGCATTGTTGTACCACCCCAATATATAGTGGTGTGACATTTTCCCCTATATCATGCAGCGGTGATCTCTACATGAAGCTCAGAACTGCTTACAGAGATTTACTGTACATCACTGACATTGAATCACACGGCACAAAGCACTCTGCCAGTCCCAGTCCTCTCCTTTTCTTTCTTTTTCTCTTCTTTTTTTTGTCTTGTTCCTCCTCTTACACACATGTGAAGCTTTTTCACAACACATTTCCCTCCCTCCCACTTACACACACACACACACCCCTCTCTCGCGGGCCGGCGGTTCCCTAGGGAGCAACTCCTCCTGTATTCCTCTTGGATGCTATAATTATTTCATCAGCCAGCGGTGTGTTCCCTGATTGTGCTCTTGGGCTGTCGCTGCAGGCTGGAGAGCAGAAAGAGAGAAAGGAGGGTTGGAGAACAGGGAGAGAGAGAGAGAGTCTGTCACTCCTGGAGGTGTAGAGAGATGCAGAGAGGAGAGGGAATGAGGGAGGGAGGACGGGTGGGCATCTAACAGGCGCAGACACACACGTGTCCGAAGGGATAGTGACTAGACTAATGAGCAGTCTGCTCGCTGGAGAAAAGATGACATACACACACACACACACACACACACACACACACCCTGCCGCATATTCTATGGAATCCCACACACACCCACTCACACACTCTCTTGAACTTTCTGTCATCACTGACTCTCTATAACTTTGTTTACATGAAGAAACGTTTCTTCACGCCTCACAAATATTCACGCTGACACTGTATGGAGCAAAGCATACTGTAGTACTGGGCCGTGATGCACCCATTTGGTTGTGAGAAAGAACTTTTTAAACAGTTTATTCAGCACTTTTAAGTCACCTTTAAAATGTGAGTTATTTTAAATTGCTGGTAGTTTCTGTCTCAGGGGAATTCTTCCCTTTCTCATTTTGGGAGTCGGAGTAATTCCCTCCCTCCACCGTAGTGTTGGTGCATAAGACAGATATAGCCTGTCAGCTCCTCTCCACTTAGTGCAGTCCATACACTCTACACAGACCAATGCCTATAAGGCTCCTAATGAGAGCTACCTGTAGCACCTAGACATCAATTGTTACCTCTTGCTTTTCCGTGTTCCCATTCATTTTGTCTTTTTTCCCTTTTGCTTTGTATTTTTGCATTCTCTCCAATTCTCTTTCACGTTTTGTCCTTTGTCTTTGCTAGAGGTGCCTGATCGTAATTAGCCAGAAATCAAAATAAGCAGATATAATAATAATGATATTAATAATATGTTGATTTGTGTAGCAGGTTTTCTCAAAACCAAGGACACTTTACAATTACAGCAACATTTTAAATCAACAGCAAACAAAACATGGTGAAGAGTCTCCCAGCTTGCAGGCCAGCTGAACTCTACTACCGCAGTGAAAAGCATCCCAGCTCATTTCCCAGTCAAACTGTGCTACTGCAGTGAAAAGTGTCCTAGTTCATGGCCCAGGCAAACTTTACTACTGTAGTAAAAAGTGTCCATGTCACTATGCAGTCAAACTCTACTACTGCGGTGAAAAGTGTCCTAGTTCATGGCCCAGTCAAACTCTACTACTGCAGCGAAAAGTGTCCTAGTGCATGGCCCAGTCAACCTTTACTACTGCCGTGAAAAGTGTCCTACGTCACGGCCCAGTCAAACTCTACTACTGCGGTGAAAAGTGTCCTAGTTCATGGCCCAGTCAAACTTTACTACTGCAGTGAAAAGTGTCCTACGTCACGGCCCAGTCAAACTCTACTACTGCGGTGAAAAGTGTCCTAGTTCATGGCCCAGTCAAACTTTACTACTGCAGTGAAAAGTGTCCTACGTCACGGCCCAGTCAAACTCTACTACTGCCGTGAGAAGTGTCCTAGTTCATGGCCCAGTCAAACTCTACTATAAATCAGCTGATTTATTTTTATTTTGACCAACCTAAGTCAGAATTTTATGTGTAATGTGCAAATGCTGTGCATTTGAATACTGTGAAGAAGAAACACAAAAAGCAAATCAGCCAGTTTGGCTGTAAATACCCCTAATCTTTACTCATATTCCTTATCTTATTCTGTTTCTCTTTCACTGCATAGAGCTGTAGTAGCCTCATAGTAAATTTTAATGACCAGAGCTGTTGTACAGTTCATCTGAAGGTTATTGGTGTGTCCTCCTATCAAGTAAGCTTTTGTTTCAGTTAAGGTCTTTATGCACCACTTCCACCTGGAAATTTAAGACTATATCTCATGTGAATCGTGAGATTAATGTCAATACTATGGCTGGGTTATTGTAGAGTCAGAGGCAGCAAATGGTTGATGTCAAGGCTAATGACTGAGCTGACCCCATTAGCTACAGTTTCATGTTTCCTTCTGAAAAACGGAGTGCTTTTTGGGGGTATTGGGGCATAATGCACCCATTTGGGTTGGGTGAAGTAGCCTGTGGAGCGAGAGAAAGAAAGTGAGGCCTGTCTGTGTTTACTTTGGCTTTGAGACGGGGGCTTTTGACCTTTCAGTTCTGATTTCATAGTGTTGGGTTGCAAATGTCAAACTATACCATTAAATCAATCAGCAAAAGAGTGGATTGATTTTTTTTACCCCCCAACCTGAATGAGAGTGAATATTTGTTTTGGTTGCTTTTGATGAAAAGCTTTCTTGACAGAGTGAAGGGCTTTGGACGTTAAACCAGACTAAACGGTTCTAGTTTTGTGAATAACATTCAACATGTGACAACAGAAACAGTTTATTATTATGTCAGGCCTGATTTGGTTTTGTAGAAACAGCTTGGTGTCTCAGAAAGGACACAGCATTTTATAATCTCAGGTAGACTTGCTTATGTGGTTCCTGACACTGTATGACGTACTATAAACTATGAAAATGGCTAAAGTACATCACATAGCTTGAAACACTAGCAGCCACCTTGAAGCCTGTTACTGATCCAAATACATAAAGATTTGGAAAAAAAATAGAAATTGAGACTTTCTGGATTTACATTAAAGGGAAATATTATGTTCATTTAATAAAAAATTCAATAAAAAGAATAAAATGCAGCACAATAGCCCAAAGTCACTAAACCTTTTGCTCTTCTAGATTGCAATAAATACATAACCAAATACTGGTTTGGAATAGTTTTGTTTTAGCAAATATCTGCTGTTACCGATCTGATTCTGATATTATATGAGTATAAGCTTCCAGTACTTGATAACTATATTAGCCTCAAGGCAAAAAGAAAGAAGCAAAGCAAAAGAAGTATGATCTTGGCTGATCAATTACATTCGGGGAACGGGGAAATTAGATTTTTTTTTATTTACCAAACTATCACTTTAAAAGTTTAGGGAAAGACTTATTCAGCTTGCTATACCTGTTTCTACCTTTTCTCTTTCATGCAGCTCATTTCCACTTACTTGCTCTGCTTATACTGAAGTGTACGCTGTGTTCTTTGGTAGGGCTGCACAGAAGTTGAATCTTTCGTCCAAGCGGAAGAAGGCCCAGCCGCCTGTGCTGCAGCCCCCAGAGCCTTCCATCTACCCCACCAACTTCAGCAACATCCTCCAGCTCTCCCCACCGCCCGCTCCACCATGCCTGCTCAGGGCCGGCTCAAAGGCCAAGGAGAACCCCGGCATGGGCAAGGTCAGAGAGATAAACACACACACGTAAACGTGCAGGAACTATGGGTGTGCTTGCAAATGCATTCTTTTTGACAATGAATAAAGAGCAGTGCTTTCTGCTCTTAAAGTGACTGGGGGAAATGCAAAGCCATACATCTCCCTGTTCAGTGGGGAACACACATACAGGTGAGGCTAAGTGGCATGATAAACGTACACACACACACATACACGCAGAGCATGGGGTGTCTGACACAGCTGCAGAGAGGGTGCCTCATTTGTCTACATGCAGACTGGTGCCCATACTGGCTTAGGGCAGTACAGGCTGATATAGTGGCTAAATCCCAGGGAATGTCATCAATTCAGGTTCTTTTTTTCTCCCTGGTTTATTCTCTATGGGAGGGACCATTTGAAGGTGTTGATTAGCTGTTTTTTTGCCATCATTCTGTGCTTACTTTTTTGGAAAAGATTTTGAATGGGCATTGAAATGTTTAAAAGGAAATGCCTCAAGCCATGTTATTGCACAAGCAGAGCTGACTGCTAAACTGTGAACATACTTTGAAAACAAATAATGAGGAATTGACTGAAATTGTTAAAAAAAAAAAAAAGAAAAAAACCTTGTTGAATGTGTAACACCTCTCAGTGAGCAGTGATGTCTTATTTTGCCAAAGACTGCATTCAGAAGCTCTGAATGGGAGCTAGGCCAACAGTAGCAAGTGTTCAGCATGCACCCCTTTTGTCTACTGGGTATTGTATTGTACTCCATGTTACTGTATTTATAGTAATGGAGAAGATTTGTACCAGATTAGATACCACCTGCTCTGCGAGATGATTGTAGCACATGTTGCCAAAAGCTCCAGCCCATTGAGATGATTGTTAACTGCCCATTGAAAATGGACTCATTGAAGCCCAGCTTCACTAATGAGCTTCCTCTTCCCACTACCGAAACACACACATCTGCTGCTGTCTGAATGGACTCGACTGCTGGTTTGGATGGTTAATTCAACTTTTCCTATTGGTTCTCTCTGTGAAAATGTTATTGAACCCCTATGTATGAAGCATAAATCATATTTGCCTGACATTTGTACATTTGTGGAGTTCCTTCTGACCCACAGTGTTTACAGTGCTTACTCAAATTATAGACTGTAAGACTTGTTCTGTGAATTGTGTAACCCTGTTAAATTGCAGTGGCCCGACTGGTTCTGGCTGAGTCTGGCTTTCAGGTCATTGAACCAGACAGCAGAACAGGACAGTTAAGAGAGGCTAATGGCTGTGTAGAGGTTATCCAGAGCTGGAGGGCCAGAGCCATTAGTACAACTCGCAGGAGGTGTGAAAATCCAGCAGTCTCTCTAAGACCCATCAGACCTCTAGCCTCATATCAAATGGCAGACAAATGTAAATACAGTGGAGACAGTTAGTTCAACCTGAGCACAGCTCTGTCTGGGTCATATATGGAAGCCTGTTTCCAATGTCATGGCTGCTGTAATCTGTCCACCATGTGCACATGTCCATCAGAGGTAATCAGCCCCTGCGGAGCAGTCCGGCTAGGGCCGTCGCTGTGGTGCACACATTCCACTGACCACAGGCACTGCCATAGGATTGGCAGGCCGGACATTGTTTAACTATGCTGGAGCCATAGTTCTGTAAATAGTCTACAAGAGAAGACTATGGTTTTGTGCTGCTTGGAGTGTCATAGGAGCTCCATAGGGAAAATACCGTACCTGTGGTAGCTTTGCCATGTGCTGTGGGGCCACGTCCTGTCACCAATGCCAGTTTCTCACCAATGTGATCATGCAAGCGCTAATTAGCACAGTTCCTCAGTTCCTCAGCTGCTGGGCACTTGCTCTTGCTGGCTCTGTGTGTGGTCTCCTGTGAGAAGTGTATGGCACTGCAAAAGGCTATGGAAAAGTTTCTCATAGCTTCTGTACTATAACCGACTCTCTGAAATTGTTTTGGTCTATGGTAGGGTGACCATACCTCCACTTTTTCCAGGACATATCTCCTTACTGGGACCTAAAAAACATGTCTTGACAGGGTTTCTAAATTGCCTAAAACGTCTGGGATTTGGCTTTGCTTTCATGTTTGTATTCTATAGTCTGCCCTGTGCCACCCTTGCCCTCGTGCCATCATTATTTATACCCCTCAAATTGCAATCTGTTTCTGTCAAACTCTGAAATTGTAATTGTATGCTTTTGTAAAACAATGTGCATGAAAGTTTTTTTAAGCCTAAAATGTGATTTGTAATTGACAGATGAACGTTATAAAGACGCAAGTTAGGATTCATAGTTGAGGAATCCTGAATGTGAGGGTTGCACTGAAGAAACTTAGGCTACAATCACATTTGCAGACTTACAAATCTGATTATGGATTTGCGATTCATGAAATGATGACTTCATTGCTGCATTAATATATATTTCCTTTTGACAGGATATTAGCTCCACATTTGTCTTTATATAATTCACCTGCTTCTAGGAGAGCTCATATAGCTCTACATCTGTAAAACTGTTCATGTGCAGAAATTCTATTATTCTGCCATACCCACAATCTTGAGTAAAAGAATCCTTGATTACATTAGATTGGGTGTTACATTATCACCCATAATTTGCTGAAATGTATCTTGTGTAGCGGGCACTTTTCTTACGTAACATCATTTTTCTGTCTTTTCTTTTAATCTGCTTCCTCGTCCCTTATTTCTCTGAGCAGGTGAAGGTGATGGTGCGGATCTGTCCATCTCCCGGGGTTCAGGACTGTTCTGAGTCCATGTCCTTCCTAAAGGTGGACCAGCGGAAGAAGCAGCTGACCCTATATGAGCCCTCGCTACTGACCCAGCCGGGCACAGCGCACCGCCGCACCCCGTTGGCCGCCCCAAAGATGTTCGCCTTCGATGCTGTCTTCACCCAAGATGCCTCTCAAGTAAGAGCCACACTGGAGTCAGTTCATTACTGTCCTCATTGGTCTTGTATTATTGAGTACAGGATGGTGATGCCTTTTTGTGCCTGTTGATATGCAGCTAGCTTGTTTGTTTTGCCACCCCAGCACTGTTTTATTGTGTGTTTGGGCAAAGACATTTCCTCAAGGGCAGGAGGACATCTGCACAGCACACATACACACACATTCTGGGCAGGGCCTGGGGCTTAATGCAAAAATGGCTATCTTGGGACAGCAGCATTCTTCACAGTATGCGCTCAACAGCTGTTTCTTTTAAGTCTGGAAAATGGTTTGAATTCCGGCCACATATACCCAGCAGCCCATTCTCAGTTCATCACCCCGACTCGAAAGCCATGAGGGCGTCCAAATTAAGACCAGAGCGCCTTCCAAACAGTCACACAAATGAAAATGAGGAAACTCCTCCACAGTCCTTGAGAATGATTAAGTGAGAACAATTTGGTTTTGGCTTTGTACCAGCTTAGGTCGACATCTTAATGTCCGCTCTGAAAGACCCCAGCATTAAACCCACTTCATAATGGCTGTGATTCAGAATTCATTTGTTTTAGATTCAGATTATCATATCATCTGTTAAAAAAAAACATCTTGAGTAACCCTTAGAAGTTGAGTTATTACTCATATTTTGTTGAACTATTCAATGTAATTATGGGTTAATTACATAGCTATGCATTTATAATGTATGTTCAGTTTACAGTACATATTTATTGATATTTATTTAGTACTTACCTACGAACAAATCCTAAATAAGAAAACACTGGTAACTGTCAGAATCTTCATGATAACTGCATCAGTGGGTTTTAAGAAGAAATTTCTTCTTAAGAATGGTTGGTGAATGAGGCTCAATACCTTTTTTACAAATTCAAATCATAATAAAATGTCTTGTGTTCTAATGACAAACATTAATGTGGCATAGATTGAAAGATTACACTTCTGACAGCAAATCTCTGCTTGTTTCAATGAGCTACACATTAGAAATAATATCAAATTATACCATGCTTTTCTCATTGTTAGCAGTAACTGCGACTAAGAAAGGGTTAAAATGCCATTGTAACAAGTGAAGTAAAAGTGATTGTGATAGTAAATCTTCTAAATCAGTATATGTTTCTGTGGCACAAGAGGGAAATTATTTTAGTGAATTGCTTTCTGTGTGCCATTCTTCAGATTACAGTCAGAGTGCCTGTATGTCCTTTTATATGTGTGTATATGTGCATGTGTGTATGTGTGTTTTGATATATGGAAGGAGATTGCTGCAGTAGCAAACTGTCCCTGTGGACTGGGGCTAGTGGAACAGATTGTAATGATAGTGCTGTAGAATGCAGCAGTGTAAACCACCCCACGTCCCATGAATTCATGATGAGCTGCTGCTTTGTTGACTCAATGTTTCACTGTATATCTTTTGCTAATGATGCAATAAGTGGATTTGTGCACACAGCAGGGATATCTACGATTCCGACTGAGAGCTGCAGAGTTTGTTACACTGCACAGTTCATGGATTTCTACTCAATGGGAAAGAAGAGACTAAATATGCCGCAGTAGCAATTTTATAGGAATGTTTCGCTAATTTACAGCGAATGTTCACATTTTTCGTAAAAAAACAGCAGCACAAAATATACTTTTGAAGGTCTTTTTCTCCATATTTTTGGACATACTGTCATTGCCGTAAGCGATGCTTGACTTATTGACTGCTCACTTCTTGGTTATAATGAGTAGTTATACCTAACTAAAGGTATAAATTTTCTTACTTTGAAGCAGAGCACTTTTGACAGAACTTTTATGATAAACTGCAGTGTGCTTAACTTTACCTCTATATTTGGGCATGTGTTTAACTTATTGACTGTTTATATCCTGGTTATAATGAATACTAAGGATACTAATTTTGTTAATTTGAAGTAGAGCACTTTTGAATGTTCACCTTTTTCATAATAAATGGCAACACAAAATGTACTTTGAAGCTTTTTTTTCACATAGTTGGACATACTGTCATTTGCCGTGCGCAGTGCTTGACTGACTGACTGTTTATATCCTGATTATAGCTAATTTTCATTGATTTGCGGCAGAGTGCTTTTGAAAGTTTGTTTTTTATGATTTAAACTACAGTACAAAAATACACTTTTTGGCTTTACTTTATACTATATTTGAATATATGCAACGTACCATGTGTAAAGAAAGAAGAGCTTACTGACTGTTCATATCTTTGTAATAATGGGTCTTAAGGGTTTTTTTGCTATTTTTCTACAGGCTGAAGTGTGCTCAGGGACTGTGGCTGAAGTCATCCAGTCAGTGGTGAATGGAGCAGACGGGTGTATCTTCTGCTTTGGCCATGTCAAGCTCGGTAAGCTCCACTTGTCCTAGTGATATACTGCATTAGCTCATCATTACATCTCATTAATTACTTATGGGTGTGATAAGACTCATAGGTCTGAAGGTCCAGTTATTTGGTTAATAGCATTAAGGCCATTTAGCAGCTAAGAGTAAAGAAATTGCTGCCTTCTTGCCCTTTCTTTAAAAAGGCTGAGTGATATACTCAACTGAATGGAGCATGTGTAGATGTGTGTGTGTGAGTGTGTATATATGTGTGTGTGTTTGTGTGTGTGCATATGTATGTCTGTCTGTAGACGATTGCAAGCAGAAGGGCCAGAGGCTAGAGAATATAATTAAAAGCTTGGTAATTGACCCTCACACTACACTGTGTTTGCTCATGCCTGTTAAATGTGGCAACACTTTCTTGTCTCAGTTACAATATGTAATGATGATGTGGGCTCATCGCTCAACCATTACTTAGTGCTACTTAATATACACTGTATTGTGCAAAAGTTAGAGACACCCTTCATGTATTTAATTCCAATCAAAATAGCCAGTAAACACAAATTATTGTTTTTTTAGCATCAGAAAAAAAGTAGAAAGCATATATTTAACAGAAAATTGCACAGAAGCCTGAACAACTAAACACAATAGCAAGTTTGTCAGTATTTAGTGTGTTCACCTAAAATATAATATATATACATAATATACATGTATAATAGTATATATAGTGAAAACATGAATTTTATCATCATAGCTTGATCTGGTTGCTGCACATTTAAATTTACTTCATTACATCACCAGTAGAAAAGCCTTTACCGACATTCCAGTGCTTGAAACAGTGGTATGTCATCTTCATGCCAGAATCAACAGCTTTCTCTTTCACCCTCGCCAGGCAAGACATACACCATGATTGGCAAAGACAGCTCCGCTCAGAGCCTTGGCATTGCGCCCTGTGCCATCTCCTGGCTCTTCAAGCTCATCAGCGAGCGCAAGGAGAAGACAGGAACACGCTTCTCTGTGCGGGTCTCTGCTGTAGAGATCTACGGCAAAGACGAGAGTCTGCAGGACCTGCTGTCTGACGTCTCTACAGGCAGCCTGCAGGACGGCCAGTCCCCTGGGGTCTACCTGCGTGAGGACCCCATCTGTGGGACACAGGTTGGTGGGAGTTTTTTGTGTAGTTTTTCTTTTTCACATGGCTCTTCTCAGTGTGTATTAGGCATGGAAGGGTCAGTCTTTTATAGCACAGGTTCCAGCCCTGGTCCTAGAGTAGCCCCTGTCTTGCACATTTTGTGTTTCCCTGCTCTAACACACACACTTCAACTCAGGAAGCTGATAAGTTGAATCAGATGTGTTGGGAGTGGGGGAAACACTTAAATGTGCAGAGAAGTGGGTGTTCCAGGACCAGCTTTGGGAACCACTGTGCTACAGATTGTAAATTTGTGATCAGAGATGCTGGTGCTTCTTTCATCTGCCACTGAATGAGAGCTGAACAGTGATGCAAAATACATGAGCCGAACTGCCACATACTGAATATGAATGTCTGGCACTTTTAACAATATCTGATTGAGATATAACAGTGCTATGAACAATGTTTGCAAATGTAATATGTCTCATAGAGGATGCAACTCACCTGATTCAACACATCACTCAGAATCAGAAGGTAGCAGCGCTAATAACGATGGAGAAAGTTTCACCAATATTAAGCCAACTATCATTGGCATTTTGGAGATACCAGAAGCATAACAGCTATCCCCCGTTCAGATCAGTATGGGCTGATTTCACAGGAAATTGTAAATCAAATCAGCCTCTCAAAACATTGTGGGCCTACTTTGCATATGCAGACTTATCTCTGCATGAACAACCAACAGTCTGCACTGTGAGTGCCCTGGTCCTTTCTCTTTTCAGTAATTAGAAGTTCTGTGCTTTAATCACGCCTCACCTTGCCTTTAGCGGCAGTAATTGTGGTGTGTTAGAATGGAGCCTTGTACTGACAGGCAGCTGCTCTGGTGGGTTTTTCTCCAAGGCCCTTCAGCATCCATCTGGGGGTGCTGCTTCTGTCTCTCTCTCCCTTCCCCCACTGGTCCCTTCATTGGAGGAGGGTAAATAGTAGGGGGGTAGTTGGCGTTTGGCGGGGGGGTATATGGGGTAGTTGAAAGCGCTGCCAGGTGTTGGCGTCAGATGTTGTTTTTTTGGGGGTCCATATGAGGCCAACACTTCAAAGGCTGCCTGGAGGCTTGTGAAGTTGAGATACAGGGAGTCTGGCTCCACCCAGCGCTCCTCACAGTGTTCTCCACTGTCTCTAGCTCCTCTGCTGCTCGCTGGGTGAGATGACTGTCCATTACTGCTTGTTTCAAGGAGATAAGTTCCATCTATAACACAGATTCAGTGCAGATAAAAAGAATAATTTGGGGACAAATCAAATGTACACAATTTTCCAAAAAGCCTTGCTTTTGTTGTTTCTGACACCAAATAACATCTAAAAAAAGCATGTTGCATTGCTATAAGCAGTACTGGCAGCCTGATAAGCTTCCATTACTTGCTGGCTACATTGACCTTGTAGCTCGAGTGTAAAACTAAAGAAGAAAAACAAAAGACATCTTATCTGATTGACTAAACAGCATGTAAATTAGATTTTTCACCAAATTTTTCCTTTAATACCCCTTTTACATTTAGACGTCGTACTTTGTCATAGTGCTGGTGTTCATTCTGCCTTTGATGGTCCTCTTTCCTCTGGAATTGGGAGTGCACCAGGTCCTCAGCCTGCTGCTTCCTTTTCCCTTCAGCAGAGGCTTTATCAGTCTTGGCCTTTTCACTCACTCAGGGGTCTTTCTTCATGGTCATTCCCTGCCCACAGGGGAGGCTCTTTCCTGGGGCAGAAATGCTGTCTTTGGCCCTCTTGATCTATTGCTCTCCCTCTCCCTCAATAATCCTTCTCCCTCTATATGCATATTTGTCTCCATGCTTGCCCCAGAGACCCAGTCTAATGGGCTAGCTGTTTGTAAAGCGGCTCAATTAGCTTTCTCTCTTTCTTCTTCAGTATCAAGGCATCTTTTCGTCTGTCTTTCATCACAACTGCTTCATGGATCTTATTCATTCCCGTGAACGCACACACAGACACACCAAACTCTCTATCTGTCTATCTTTGACTCCACAACACTACTGTTTTTGCATTTAGTGCAGGCTACAATTTTATTACGAGTATACAGTACTGTGCAAAGGTTTTCAGCACCTAAGCACATTGTTTAAAACTCTTTATGTTGGCAATACACCACAAAAACACCATATCTCATTAGAATATATACAAATAAACACAAATACAATAAAAAGTAACACACGTTTTAATTGAGTAAAAAGTTGTTGATGTCTTGTGAGCTAGTTTGAAGAATAAAGTTTGGTTCCAGATGTCTCCTGGAGCCCCCAGCAATTACACTTGATTTAACATAATGAAGCACTGGTTAGCCAAAGCAAGTATTAGATAACTACAATTAATACTGAAAGAAGTTTGGAAATGGTTACACGAACATATTGACATGTAAAATCACTACTTATTGTATTCAAGCAAGTAAATTTGAGCAGATTTCTAAATCAAGTAATTGAGTTTAATCAAGTTATTGTCCAGCCCTAATCTGTGGTTTTTTACACTGTCTGTGTACTGCTTTACACTGTTTATTTCAATCCTGTGCTTTAGTAATTGTTTACACTGTTATAAATTGCACTTTTGTATTCTTCTTACAATGCGCACTGCACCAGTGAGAAATGCTAAGGTGTTTTAGTTTAATGACACTAAGGCTGAATTGAACTGTGTTGACTCTTGTCACTATTTTCCAGCTCCAGAATCAGAGTGAGTTGCGGGCCCCCACGGCAGAGAAAGCTGCCCTATTCCTGGACGCAGCCATCGCAGCTCGCAGCACTAGTCGTCCTGACGCGGACGAAGAAGACCGGCGCAACTCGCACATGCTCTTCACCCTCCACATCTACCAGTACCGCATGGAGAAGAGCGGCAAGGGTGGAAGTAAGTGCCTACTGTAGTATGTGTGCGTGGTTAATTGTCTTCTCACACATTTCAGTGCCGGTGAAACCCCACTGTGCAGTTAATCGATGGTCTTCACTACCATTTACTATCCTTTCTCACTTTTCATACTCACAGAGGAGGAGAACTGCATCTCAAACTCATTAATCTAATAGCTGAGATATTACCGACCAAATCAGAGCTATCCTATCACTCTCTCATTTCTCCTCTCACTCCATCATGTAGAAGGTAAATCAATCAGGTCTGCTTTGACCACTTCATTAAACTTTAATGGGAATTTTAACAGACAGTAATAATTCATGAGCAGCTAACGACTATAATCATAGTGTAGAAGTACCTGTCACAGTGCAGTGCTGCAATGCTCATTAGCATAGGTAAATGCTGAGTATCTGATAACACAGGAATAACTCTGCATGCTTAATAAGCGTGGACACAGCTGACTACAAGCTTTCAGAAAGAACAGAGTACAAAAGCTGTACTTGAATAAAAAAAGGAGGCTGCAGCCTGAATCTCTGTCCCTTTTCCCCCCGCAGTCATGTGGAATAATATACATCTAGTGTTCATCATGTGTGAAACTCTGCATGCCCTCTGTGTGCCCCTCAGTACACAGGAATAGGACAGAGTATAACAGTTATGTGACAAAAGGTAATGACTGTTATTCCAAAGCTTTTGAACATCACGCTGTGTTCGTCTGAAGTGTCCTCACTTTCTTGTCATATATGGTGCATCCACTTTTAACCCCTTATACATCATGTATCTAGGCCCACATTTCAGTACCTCCCCTATTAAACACATTTTAGTTTAAAGTAGTTATTGAATAACTTTGAACTGAATATGAGGTCCAATTTTCTATTTTTAATCATTGCTGATTCATTGGGAAGGTATTTTTTATTGCTTATCATGATTACTTTTAAATCAAGTAATCATGATACCTCTAATGTGTAGTGGTTTACATTGTCCTATGTGAACTGATTTATGCCATTTCTCTGCACTGTAGTATTTGTTTACATTGTTCTATAGTAGTGTCCAAAAGTCTGAGCCCCACATTAATTTATTTTCCATTTAAAATGGCATTATTCATTGTTAAGGAGATAGAAAAGTGTATAAGTTTAGAATTGGTTCAGATTAGTTATAATTCCAAGGAAAAATAAATGAACAAAACAGGAGTTCCCATAACTAATGTTAAAAAAAGAAGAAGAAACCAACTTCTAAGACTGAACTTTGGAGGTGTGGAAAAATATACCTGCAGATTTCTTTGAAGAAGTGAAAGTCTCTTGATAAGAATGGAAGCTGTAAAGTAACACACTGAATACTGAAAAATAATGGTATTATGTTTAGTTGTTGAGGCGTCTGTGTAAGTGCAATAACTTGCACTTAATGGTCATTTGGCCTGGAAATTAAATAAATGAATGGTGGTCTTTGACTTTTGCACAGTATTACAAATTGCACTTTTATATTCCTAGTACCATGCATGTTGCACCAGTGAGAAATACTGTGATGTTCTCATTTAATAGGAATAAGGCTGAACTGTATTGAACTGGCACTCCTCTTCAGCACTCTATTATGGTAGATAAAACAGCTAAGATTTCAAAATTTAAAATGATTAACTGAATAGTATGCCTGCAGTTTAAGGAGTTAACATTACTTTTACTTCATTATATTTTTGACAAATGGATATATTTCCAGTATGAGTTCAGTAACGGTTCAGCAACGGCGAGATGTATGTATGCTATGGTTGATAATTCCGTGAGGGAATGATGAATTACATTACTTTTGACTTCTTTGCATCCTATACTGTGTGCCGAAAGTATTTGGTTTCTAACATAGACTCAATATAGCTGTTAAACCGGTGCAGTTTGGCTCAGATTTGAACAATATTGGACAGATTACTAAGGAAAAAATGACACCCAGTTATGTCTGTATGAGCATATATGTAGGTGTGTGCTCTTCTCTGCACTCCTCGACATTACTTCAGAGTGGGCGTGTCAGCAATGTGCTATAAGCTGTCTGCTTCTGTCTTCAATCAGTCACTGCGGGACTGCATCTCCCGTCACATGGTCGGATGCGGTACTAAATTAGCTACTAAATCTAAAGCCTCATTATTGCTAATTGAAGAAGACATTCGTCTTAATCTGACTGGCTCTTGTTCTGTGACTCAGTGGGATTTAAATCTAGTTTTCTTGGATCTGATGGTATCAAACTGAAAAAAGAAACACTTTCTGGATTACGGTTTGTGCTGCTAGAGCTCGTGAACAGTGCGGGTAAGTTAGAACATGTACTGTATATTCAATAGTGCTGTGATGTTTGACTGACCTTGAAGTGTGCTGCTAATGAAATGCGGAGTTCTTTTCATTTAGAATCTAAACATCATTAGAAACTTTACGCTGTCCACCAGAATGTTAGAACTCTAGAGTTTCTAACAGTCATGTCTCTCTTTTCTTTCCCTCTCTTTCTTTCTCGCTCTCTCCCTCCCCCTTCTAGTGTCTGGAGGTAGAAGTAGACTGCACCTCATAGACCTGGGCAGCTGTGAGAAGGTGCTTAGTAAGAGCAGAGACGGGGGAGGTGGTCTGTGTCTGTCTCTCAACGCCTTAGGCAACGTCATTTTGGCTTTGGCAAACGGAGCCAAGCACGTTCCTTACAGGTAGGAGAAAGGAGGCAGGGTATTTTACATGAACAAAATTGTGATTTCATTTTCTTAGGATTTTTCAGGTGGAATCTGCTACTGTGCAAACTGTTCATTAACTCCTTATCTGAAATTCCACATACACAGATCTGTGTGACAGTAACATTCCATGTGAAAATCTCAGGATGCCTTTCTTAGGTTTACTGTGATTCCGTTTTCCAATGGCATAACACAGAATGAGCAAACATGTAATGAGAGTTGTCAGCAACAAGACTAAGCATGTTGAGTTGTGTTGACAGGTTTATTATCAGGTTGGTACGTTGCTAATATTTGAGGTTTATGATGATCATACATGAATTGTTGTATGTGTGATCACCACGTACCTTAACATGCTATTAAACAGACACTGTGGAGTGCTCAGCAGTTATATTCTCACCTCCTTCTTGACATTACTTAGATAATGTGCTTTCTGGTTCATATTAATTAAAACATTAAAAACTAAGTAAAGAAATAAGTTGTGTTTCCATTAATATGATGGTCTGGCAACACATAAGGAAATTGTTCATGCTGTGTAGACATTTTAAAGACCTGAGGATATATTGATGAATCCTGTATTGTTTTGGATGTGTTCTGTTGTTCAGGGACAGTAAGCTTACAATGCTGCTTCGTGATTCACTTGGAAACATCAACTGCAGGACAACAATGATAGCCCATGTCTCAGACTCCCCAGCTCATTATGCTGATTCACTCACCACTATCCAGCTGGCATCCCGAATCCATCGCGTGAGGAAGAAGAAGTCCAAAGTAAGTGGAACTTGTTAAGTCAAGTATGCATTTTATAAAAAAAACTTCACAGCCATTTGCTTTATAGTAATGGTTATCTATACATTGAATTATAATGATACCTGTAAGAAGCATTAAAGCAGTAATAACACGAAGCTAGTTTTCTTCATTCTTGCTAGCACATAATCATGCAGTCAGTAAGTGTCATGATGTAAGGAGTACTCATTCTCATATTGAGCAGGTAATTAGTAGAATATGTACTGCAACCTAGGCATAATTCCTAACAATTCCAATTCCTAACAGCATGTTAATTCATATTATTGATGTTAATTTCCGGCTTGTGTACGTTTTGCCTGGTGGTTTATATTAGTCTCTTTCTTTGTGTAGTATGCATCCAGTTCTTCTGGAGGGGAGAGTTCCTGCGATGAGGGAAGGATTCGCCGACCACCACATTTAAGACCTTTCCACCCTCGTACTGTGGCCTTGGATCCAGATCTGCCCTCTTTACTCAGTGATCCAGACTACTCCTCAAGCAGCGAGCAGTCATGTGACACTGTCATTTATGTCGGCCCTGGTGGTGCTGCAATCTCTGATCGAGAGCTCAGTGATAACGAGGGTCCTCCAGCCTTTGTTCCTATCATCCCCTCCCTCAACAGAAAGCAGCGTGGAAAGGAAGGACCAGCTGACCGTGACCATTTCAAATGCAACACCTTTGCTGAGCTTCAAGAGCGACTGGAGTGTATTGATGGGAGTGAGGAACCAACAACTTTCGTTGGGGAAACTAGAGGCAGTCAAGCAAGCCCTAAGATGGACATCAGTGCAACAAAGCCAAACAAAGAAGGGACTGCATCTCTTTCAGCTTCCCCGAAGGCTTCCATTAAAACACCTTCTTCACAACAGGACAGTGTATTATCCAGACAACTCAATACTGCTGCCAGTAGACTGCCCAGCAGCCCAAAACACAAGTCCAAATCTGAGCATTCCAAATGGCAAGGTGCCACCTCATCTGATAGAGACATGCCTGAGAATGTTTGCTGTGCAAGGGCAGATGGTGAAAAGGGCTCAGTATCAGAAAACTCAGCTCCATGTTCTCCAGGGAAACAAGGTAAATCATCGCCATCTCAAAACTCTGAGCCAGTAGTGAGAGAAAAGGTATTTTTCAACAAAAAACAGCTACCCAAGCCTGCCCCTCTGCCCCTACAACAAAAGGACAATTCAAGACCTAATGGAGAAGCAGACGAAACATCTGCAACAAGAATTCCACCTATTGGGATGAGCCATCAAGTTCAGAAGCAGGGTGGTTCAGGTAGCAGTTCCCCGCTTTTGAGCAGGGTTCATCATCTAAACCCCAGGACCCCGCTTGAAGTCTGCCAGCTAAGGTCCACACTTAGGGAAAGGTGCATGGACAGAGATATCTTGAGGACTACAGTAACCCTCCAGCAACCAGTAGAGCTGAACGGAGAGGATGAACTGGTGTTCACTCTTGTAGAAGAACTGTCTATTGGAAATATTGTGGACAATGGGAGACCTTCCAGCATCATAAGCTTTAACAGTGATTGCTCTGTACAGGCCATTGCTTCCGGATCTAGACCTGTAAGCATTATAAGCAGCATCAATGATGAGTTTGATGCATATACATCCAGTGTGGGTGCCTCTGAAGTGAACATTGAAATGGTAGCACCCTTGCAGGAGGAAGCGTTTGCCTCACTGGACAGCCGTAGTTCCTCTATCGGTTCTTGGCTTAGCGAAGTAAGTGTCTGTACATTAGAGAGCGAAGGAGCACAGTCTGCAGATGTCTTTCTCCCTGATGGTACACATATTGGCCCAGGAAGTGCATTCTATCTGGATTCCCTTGGCATGTTCCAAAGCAGCCCCCAGAAGGAGCCCAAGAGCTCACTGAATGATAGTGGCTTTAGCTTCTCAGAATTGGACAGTGACAGTGCTGCTTCAAGTAAACTCTCCCTTAGTAAATGCTCATCCTCCCCAGAATCTACAAAAACATCTACCAGAAATTCACCAAAACTGGCAAAATCAAGTAACTTAAATTCATCCCCAACCCAGACCTTGCAAGACTCTTATGGTGTTCATTGTAGTCTTCCCAGGAAAATAAAACCTACCTCATGCACAGTTCAGAGTAGCATCATCAGTGAGAGCAGTAACAATAGCAGTTGGAGGCGTGAACCCCCGAGACTAGAGGGAAAGCCAGATGACCCATGGTATCGGATAGAGAATGTGTCAGAGATGCCTGTGCCCTCAAATTCATGTTCTTCTTCTAAACTATTAAAAAATGGAATTAGTGGCATACCACCTAGGAAAGCAGGCACAAATTGCAACAGCATACCTCGAATACCCAAAACACAGGGGTCTAATTCATCACAGAGGGTGGTAGACGGATGTGAAAAATCCAGTTGCAGCAAAAAGATAGAGACCCCCAGCAGAATGCCACAGCTCAGAAGAGGTGCAACCACACTGGGGACAGTACCAGTCATCCACACATCCATTGATGTCAAGGTTGGCCTGGACATTGGGTCATCAACTGGTAGTTTAAAGTTCTCATCTTTGGAAAAAAATGGGAAGGCAAATAGACAGGATGTTAGCATGCTGCCAAAGCAAGGTGGTATATCACCTCCTCCACCTCCTGTGCGTAAGTCCAGTCTGGATCAGAAGAATCGAATTCTGCTACCCCCAAGTGCCTTAAAGTCTGCATATGAGGCAGGGAAGTCCTCAGGACCCAGGCCTGCAAAGACAGAGAATGAATATGATGTCCGGTACAAAGGAGACTCTCACAGTTTGAAATCATCCAGCTTGAAGTCTGACCATAGTTTACTAAAGGCAACCTCCAGCCTTAAGGCCAGAGGAGTGAGAGGGGAAGCTGGACAACTGTATGGAAGCCAGGTATCTCTAGAAAAATGTGACAGTTTGACGTTGTTGGGATCGAAACCTGTGCTCAGTCGAGAAAACAGTGGGGCCAGTCTCAGTGGAAAGTCAAGCAGATCTGTTTCTAAGTTTGGATCACCTGTTGCCACATCCTCCCCAATCAGTACCTCACCACCTCCCGGTGTTAGTCTAGTCAACGTAGGGAAAAATGGGCAAGTCAAAAGCAGCCTTAATGCAAGACCAGTGCCTGTAAATGGAAACAAAGCTCGCACATTATCTGCAAGCAATTCCAAAGCCCTAAGTTCCTCAACCAAGTCTCTTGCAGCATCTGCACCAAGGAATGCCAACCTTCCACCTTCAGGGAAGAGTGCATTACCTCGTTCGGCAGCAGGATGCAATGGCAAACCAACAAGGGGAACTATTATGGGTACTAAACAAGCGATGAGAGCAGCCAACAGTCGTGTTAGTGAGCTGGCAGCGGGTAATCCTACTGGAAAACACCTGAGAGGATCTGGTGATTCAGATAGTGGCAATGACAGTGGAGTGAACCTCAGCGATGACAAGCCCATGCCCATCCCCATTCTGCCCTCTCCTTATAGCAAGATCACTGCTCCAAGACGGCCACAGAGGTACAGCAGCGGTCATGGAAGTGACAACAGTAGCGTCCTGAGTGGAGAGTTGCCTCCCGCTATGGGGCGAACTGCACTATTCTACCACAGTGGAGGGAGCAGTGGGTATGAAAGTATGATTCGGGACAGCGAGGCCACTGGAAGTGCCTCTTCAGCGCATGATTCTATGAGTGAGAGTGGCATGTCTTCCTCTGGACGTACCAGGAGCTCCAAACCACCCAAAAAGAGGTCAAATGGTGAGTAGCATGTATTATGGATGAGCTGCCCAGGTTGACAGTGACTCTGCTTTTCCCTCGATATCTTTCAGAACTGCTCAAAATGTTCTTAGGTTGAGTGTATGCCTGCATTGGGCTTGTAGACCTGCCAGAGGCATTTTGAACTGGCCAGCCATATTTTAAGTGCATATATGGTTGAAATCTGGAAGGATTTTGTGTATGGCAATTTAATGCAACACTACAAAGTTGTGATTACAAAAGAATCATATTGTATTCTATCAGCCATCTTTTTGCAATTCATAAGTCTGTCAGCACCAGACAGAGATTCTTGCTGCTCCTTATACATATGCTATGTAAACAAGATGCAGGAGGTCTGCCTGAAGCCTGTTATCAACCTCCATCTAAGTCTGCATGCTCGTAAATATATACATACAGATAAGGAATAAACCTTAATGCTAGAACAAGTTACACTCTGAGATTCTATATACTTTGCTTTAATTGACATATCTCTGTCTTCTACACTGGACATCAGTTCATCCATCCATGCATTGTTTTGCTATCCTTTATTTTGCTGTACCTCATGCTCTCTGTATCACATTCTTTTGGTGCTCCAGGCCTTCAGAGACGCCGTCTCATTCCTGCTCCTCTGCCAGACACCTCGTCCTTGGGGAAGAAGGCTGGTGCCACAGGCCAGTGGGTGGACCTACCTCCTATGTCTGGTCCATTGAAAGAGCCCTTTGAGATCAAGGTGTATGAGATTGACGATGTGGAACGGCTACAGCGGCGGAGACAGGAGGAGACAGTTGAGGTGAGCATAGGGTGTATCTGCCACATATTAGATATCATCATCCAGACACTCGGCTGCCGATATTGCAGTGACAGTTAACAAACTACATGTTGTGCAGTTTTAATTAATTTCACTATTTTTTTTTCAATGATATGATCAAATGTTTTGAATGAATGGTTGAAAATAGGGATGTGGAGGAGCACATGCTGTTGATGCAGATGTCGTTTCTGAAAGTGAATTAGCATTTAGAGAAAGCTTAACTACTCAGCATATAGCATATACTCAGAAGTTTATTCATTGGTGACACAATCAGCATAACTCATTTCCACAGTAAGGCAGCTGACATATCACATAGATCATTTTTTCTTTCTCATGTTTCATTCTTTCTAAAACCTCTCAGAGCTCAGTCTATATGTTAAAGCTGATCATGCGTCTGGTATGTGAAAGGGAATGTCATTAGCTCAGCAGTATGCCACATGCGTCACCTTCAAGCTCTTCACATTGAGTGAAGGACTTGTCAGACCCTTGCATCTTATTAAAGAGTGCAAAGATAATTTGTGGCTCAGACTCTTGACCTTCAGGATGTCTGGTAGTGGATGGCTGTGTCTGAATTTCTATGCCCCCATAGCTTCCTGGGTAACCAAAGAAATGTCTGGGGTTTGAATACAGACTAGTTGAGAGACAATTTTCTGTAATGTTAATTGGTTTAGTGAGGAACAGGTGAGGTGTCTAAGCCACTTTGGCAGCGACATATAATACTGAAATTCTCATTCATTCTCCCATTAATAATAATTATAATAATAACAATAATAATTACAGTCACCATTACTATTACTATTGCTATTTATATAAAACTCACATACATAAAAATCTCAAAGTGACTCATCGGGAATCATAGAGACATTAGTTATAATAGATAAATAGTAAAAAGAATAAATACAGTAAATAAAAGATCAGGAAAAAATAAAGAATAATTACTATCAGAACATAAAAGATGAAATTAACAAAGCAGTAATACTAAAACTATTCCAGAGAGATGGTGGCACTCTTAACACACTTAAATCTTTTTTTCCATTTAAACCTGGAAATAAACAACATACAGTTTTGAAAAACTTAGAACAAAGAAAGCTTAAGACAAGCTGAAGAAGAAATATTTAAGGTTCTGCGCTGTTTTTAGATTACTGTTCAAATTTAAGCAAATTTGTGTTTGTACAAAAAGGTCAGATTTTTTCAGCCTTATCTCTTTAATTGAAGCTTGTGTTCAGACTCCCAGGTGGATTTGATCTTCTCCTCAGAGGCTTTTGCACAAACTTATGGAGTTTGTGCCAACTTGAGTGCACATTGTCATTAAAGCAACTAAGAACTAAGAAATTCTGAAATTTTGGTGAAAATTTAAATGATTATACTTTTTCTAATTGTTAATGCTAATTATGCAATTTGTAATAAAAAACCTTGTCTCTTGTGGTCTTAGCCGTTTGGACTGTACTGTATGTGCTTATCACAGCATTTTCCATATTAAGCTATTGATTAGATTGTGAGAGAGAGAGGGTAAATGGCTGATAGAATTTTTGTATGTTTATATATGGCTGCACATTTTCACATTTCATTATAAACCTAACCTTGTTTCTTGCTATGCCCTCCCCCTCTCCCTTTTTCCATCTCTTTCATGCAGCAGTCAATTCAGGATGTTGAGAAGGTACGCTGATTACAATACCTGGAAAAAGTCTTAGATCCTTATAAATGTCACTGGATCTTTGTATTCTGTAAACCTTTTAGAGAGTACATGGTCAAAGTAAATTAGCTTGTGTGTAGTGTTTTATGCAAAAAATATATGACAAACATTACATTCATTAATGGTAGCTTCGTTGGTGGAAGCTAATGAAACATTTATACTATGTTTCCTAAGGATTTCTCTTATTCCAAAGCCTACCTTTTATGAAATGGTATTATTTTATATTGGTTGATGTCTGATTTTCCCTCATTTTTCTCTCTGTAGGGTTTAATGTACTTTAACACAAAGCTGAAGGATGTGGAGAGAAGGCAGCAGCAGATCAGAGAGCTCAGAGTCAAACATGAAACTCTGAAGGAGGAACTTGAGGACACCAAGGCCAGACTGATGATGGACCCCAGCAAGTGGATAGGAGAGTGTGAGTTTTAGAGTTAACATTCTTGATTGATGTACCTGAGTTCTGTGCTTTGAGAGTCCGCCCAAATTTTCCTTCAGTAAGTCATGATTGGTTGTGCTCCTCACAGTTGATGTGGACCAGGATTTGGACCAGGAGTCACAGGAGTACCTGGAGGCACTAGAGCAAGCCACGAGTGAGCTGGAGTACTGCGTCAACCTATGCAAGTCTCGCATCATGATGGTGACCTGCTTTGACATCAGAGCAGCATCGGACATTCAAGAAGGACCGCGAGAGGTGGAGGTGTGAGAACAGGACAGGTTGGAGGTGGAGAGACAGAACGGAGGAGAGGAAGTGAGAAAGAATTCTGGAAGTCTGAGTGGAAGGATATTGAAATGTAGCAGCCACTGATAGTAACAAAAGACAAAGAAGAAACCTGAGTACTGAAGACTGGAGTACTGAACACTGCATGAAGCAGCATATCTTTTGAGGAGTGACTGGTACTGCTATTATACAGTGCCTCGGTCTACATAACGGACTTTTGAGTATGAAGCAGCAACCTGTGATATTTTTGGATCATCTACTGCATAAAGAGAAAGAGAGAGAGAGAAAAAAAGATAGAAAGAAAGGAAGAAAGAGGGATTGTCACCATTCACCCAAGAGTTCTTCTGCTACACCACAAAGTGCCTTTTGTCATATGACTCTTTCAATCATTATTTTTTGTATTGGTGCTAGTGCTCTAACCAGCATACCTAAGCCAACCCTTAACATATTCCTTTTACGAAGAAAATGATTTTATATTGCATTGTATAGTGTATTTATATGATTAAACAGTCTGTAAAATACCATTGGTGGAAAGAGGAAAGGAAAGCAATAAGCTAATGTTATTGCGTTTTCCCAGACTTTGCCTTTCTCCTGTACTATCACCTCTGTCAGCATTTTGTCATCTAACCTCTGGAGCCTTATGTTCTATTTCTAGTGACTGTGTGTGACTTTTTACCTTACATATCAAACGAATCTGTGATGTCTTTTTAAGAGCTACACTTGTAATACTGTTGTAAAATCAGCCGCCGCCAGGATTGGTTGATGCAAGCCCATTTTCAACTTTGACTCAGTTGCCTTGAATGATTTAAGTTGAATGGAACAATACAAATTAACGACACTATGGTCAGTTCTGCATAAGAATGTGCGTTGTAGTAACACGATTGATGTCCTGCATTGGTACTGCATTTTGTCACTCTCTTGACTGTTTAAGGAGTTCAGCCACATTGAATGTACATATGGATTTATAGAAGCCCTTTTTAGCAACAACCCAAACAGTGTCTAGAATGTGACACATCAAGCCTTCTATCACTCTTAAGCAGTTAAACTCAGCCATTTTGCATGACCATTCAAGCTCATCTTATCCAAATACAGTTTGATCTTTTGCTTGTGTTTTGAGACATAGGAGGTAGGAATTTATCAGGGGGCCTACTAAAACAGCTAAGGGTCATTCATACAGAGTAACAGGGTTTTTTTTTCCTGTCTTTGGGGTAAAAGAAACAACACCCACCCTAAAAGCAAATTCAAGAGCCAGAACTGACCCTCAAATCAGTTTTTACTATGTCTTTTAGTGCCGGTTTCCCAGAGATGGATTAACCTAATCTTGTTCTAAATTTCAGTGTTGATGGAAAATCACCTTTGGATTTTTTTGTATTCCATACAGTTTCTGATCCTGACTGTGCAGTGGAAAACTGAATGTGAGCACAGCGATAGTTCATATTCCCCTTAACTGACAATACCGTTCTATTACACACCATACAGTGACTACATCAATGAACTACTTCAGACATTTTCACCTGTTTAACTGTAACCCTGTGGCTATTATGCTGAGTTAATGTTGCCAGACAGTGGTTCTATGCATTCCTGAAATATAGTTCTATTCACGTAGAACCTCAAAAAGCTACACTTTGCCTTTAGCACAAATAGCCTGGCCTCATGTAGAGATCAAAACTTTCATATTTCTCCTTTTTTATCTCAAAATAAATCAGCTTGTCTAACCTCTCACAGATACCTCTGTATTTATAATGTAGTTGTGTCAGCTGCACAGATGAGGATTGTTCAGAATGGCTGTTTAACTGTCTTTCAACATAGACTTTTGGATCATCCAACATAATTACTCAGTCACTTCTCTTGTTCTCAGTAAACCTTCTTGGATTTATTTACCTTTACAAGTATACACTCTCAGGCCCTTTCTTACAATGCTGCATGAGATTTTTCTTTGTTTAATTATTATTATTTTTTAGATATGTTCTTGCTTCAGTTTTACATTTAATTTTGTAATGATGATGCTGGCATTCACTATCATAGGAGGTTATGAACATCGATTAACCAACTAACACCAAACTGAACCTTTTTTATTCAAATGATGATGATGTATGTCATATTTCATATCAAATCATATTTTCTAATGTTTTTTGATTTTGTAAAGGATTTTCAGACTATGTGTAAAAATGTATTATATGGCAGCTTGGGATGACTTTCTTGTGAATAAAAACATGTTCCTTCTTATAGTGGTGTCTGTGTCTCAGTGTATTGTAATACAAAAGTCTGAGACGATTTATTTACTAATTTCCAGGGAAAAAGGCCATCATGTACAAGTTATTTATTTTTCAGGAGATTTTTCAGAGTATATAAGATAATCTACTTCAGTCAAAGGAAAATAAATGAAAAAGGAATTTCCGAAGAGTACCAATGAGCTCAAAAATAATTAAAAGTTGTAAAGATAATGGGAGTCATAACAACCGTTCAAGATGTTCTCAGAACAGTGGACTGGAGTCCAGATCTCAGCACCATTTAATGTGTTTGGGATTACTTGAAGCAGAAAGTGCAACCAAGTTCTAAGACTGAACTTTGGAAGTTTGAAAATATTTCTGCAGATTTCTTTGAAAAACCGAAAGCAAGTCTGAAATGAATACAAGCTGTGATAAAGGCAAAGGATGGACATACCTAATACTGAAAAAATTATATTATCTTTAGCTGAGATTCTGTGTAACTTTTTGGAAATTAAATATATGAAGTGTGGCTTCAGACATAGGCACAGTACTGTATAAATGTTTGTCCTAGCTATGTCATATAAAACACCCTGTTTTAATCATATTTCTTTCATTTGGTGAAAGGTAATCTTAGCCCAAGGCCATATCATGTCAGGGCTAAGTAAATACAGTAAGGTTATCACTGGCCTAATAATGCTTTCAACACCAAAAATACAACTGTTGAATGCTAATAAACCCTTTGCCTAAGGGCTAATTGTGAAAGCTGTATATGGGTTGGGATCTCTCCAGTGATTGGCCACAGTGTTGTGGCACATTGCAAACCAGCATGAGTGTCACACCTGCTGTAAGAGTCACTATGGACCAGGAATGGCTTAATATAGCCAGATTAGAGGTGTGACGTCAGCCCATGGTTGTGTGTGTAGCATGACACTTCAAAGATCTTAAAATTGTACTTACAATTTCATAACCAGATGACACTTTTGGATTATTATGGGTCATTTTAGTCCTCACTATTCACTGTGTGGCGTAAAAGTTATATATTACGCTCATGCATGTGTTTGCAGAGACTTTACTTTAAAAGTGACAAATCCACAGGTGTTGGAATATGAGAGGTTGTAAATTCAGTAGACGATGATTAACTGTGACAGAAATGTACACAGACACAAACACTGCAGGCCGCCCTGCCACCCCATCATCCTGTCGCGCTGCCACCTGCTCTGAATTTTACACACAAATGCCCCATTTTATTGAGAAGCCACACACACATACATACTACGATTATGAAGATGACCGTAAGATGGACAGTTTACAAATAGAGTCACAGTAGGAAGAGACATTTGAACACAAACACCCCATGTTCTCAGCAGTGATGAGTTTTGAACCGCACAGTACAATTACTGTGTAATAAGGTCTTCCACATTTATCTGATTAGGATTATGGAGATTGCAGAGCTTGCCAGAGTTTCACAGGATATTTTTGCAATGTGTTCCTAATCCATTTCAGTGGAGCTGCTTAACTCTAGAGTTGGACTGTAAATTACCAAGTAATCCCCTACTTGCAGAGCAAATACAATAACCTCAGCCTGCTCCCATCTTTCCTCCCCACTGTTGATTTAATTTGATTGAAACCAGAGCATACAGTAGTAATGATTTGGCTGCTCGGTTGGAGCAGCTGGCCTGTATATTGCTAATCAAATCAGTGGCCTTTAGTCTTGCTGGCTGTGAGTGCTTTTTGACAGCAGGAAAGAAGGTTATGTGCTTTAAATGACAATGATTAAAATGTGCATATTATAATTTGGGGCAAAAAATCTAATACAGGACATGCTTTCATTTTGCCTTTGTCCATCCCAATTGCTGTCATCATAGCTTAGTTCAATACAGCACCAAACATTTGACATGGCCTCCTCTTTCAAGATGTTTGTATCTCTGCTTCAAATGCTTAAAACATGGTTTTCAAAAACGAGGTTGATGTAATATGTAATAATAGTGATTTTTCCTCAGTCATTCAGACAGCCTGACAGCAAATTTGCTTGGCAACTGCATACACCAAATGCTGATTTGTGATGTTGCCATTCTATTGCTTGAACATTTGGCTATCTATTCTTTCGTGCAATGCTTCCTCGTGCAGCCAGGCCCTGTGGTGTCTGGTCTAGAGCCTGCTGTGAGTTTCTGCTCTTGCTGAGGAAGCTCAGCTTTGGGCAAGAGACAATGAGTGACATGCTTTGACACATATCCTGCACTCTCCACCGAAGAAGAGGCCTCATTGCCATGGAGACGCTCCGGAGTGGCCATGGAGAGTTGCGGTAGGCTGCTGAGTCCAGGCTTTTTAAAAGCTGCTTTGACCTTGCCTCTGAACCGAATGCCTCTGGCCTCTCCTGGGGCAGAGAACGTGAGAGTAGCACAGTGAGGGAGAGTTCAGGGAAAAGTCAGCAGGATCCCCCGCAGCTTAAGTCAAGCTGTAGCCATGCCTGTTCGATCAACATGCAGACGCAGACAAGGAATCCGCCAGAGCCTCGTGAACTGAACGCATCTGCTTACTGCTGCTCCTCACAGTTTCTTCAGCTAATCTCAATCATGTACACATGCTCAGAAGCAGCACAGAAGGAGGGATGCTGAAAAAGAAAACAGCAGAAAGATGAATGGCCAGCAGAGCATATGAGAAGATATTAGGCCTATATGAATAAGAAACCAATATCTTAGTCAGTAACTGAAAAAAAAAAACTGGCTAATGCCATTCAGTGCTCTAAAACATTTCCATCAGATGCCTTCTGTGACCGCATTTTTACCAAGTGCTGAGTGCACGGCTCATAAAGAGGAAGTGATCTTTAGATTTACTTCCTCCAGTCGTTTCTAATGAGCAGAGGTACCGTACCTTAACGATGCAGGGTCCCTCAATCGGTCACTCCCATAAAAACGCACCCTTGATTTGTAGGGGAACTAAACCAATCCCTATATTGCTTAGGGAGATCAAGGAGAACATTATCACCCCCTGTGTAATTTATTTTGGTTTGGCCCTGACATGAAATATTCATGTTTTAATTTAGCTAGGTCCTTGTTTACTCTACACTCTCAAAGGTTCTTTTTGACACCTTTGCTTTCTGCCTCTACATGCTGTGAATATTTATTTGGTTGTTAAACGGCTTCATTGATTGGGTGGCAAGAGTTCACAAAATTCATTGAACTCAGTTTAATCATCAGTGTAATTAAAAAAGTTACACAAATCATACAAACAATATGTTGGGAAATGATCTTAGTAAGTGAAATATAATCAATAGAGACAGAGTCAAAAGGCTCATATACATATGTCACATTTTTTTAATTTGCATCTTAGCATATTGCCTTGCAACCAGACATTCCTTTTCATCCTTTGAGACTGAGCTACATGGGTGCTGCAGGGTTGTTTGTGGCGTCCATTGTCTGTGTGAGTTAGAAAATTAAAAGAGAATTTATGAGTGCCCTCTAGTCAAGGGGTTGTGCGGTTGGCCAAGGCATTGTTAGTGGGCCTGCATGAGTAGCGATTTACAACTCTGCAATCAGACAGAGTTCGCCTTCTAAAGCAGGGCCCTGCTCTTTTAAGGGGAGCCATAAACCCAACCAAATGCTGCCACTTACTCTAAGTAATTAAAACAAGCTGGTTTGGAAAGGGACCTTAAATTACCCGAGTATGTGGGTGAAATTTAGCACTGCATATGCTTCTCTTTCTGCCTTGGTTCACTTCAGGGGTGCTGTAACTATTGACAAACCTTAACAAACACACACATCATTATCCAGTAGTTCTCCTCCACTCCTACCCGCTGCTTAAGGCTGGAGCATCTCAAGGGACTTGGGGTCATGGAGTGGGCTTTCAGCTTTGGGAGAGGCAGTTGCACCAGGGACTGAAGTAGCTTCTTTGAAAACGACTGCAGAAACTAACAGCCTAGAGACCAGTGTCTCCGTCTGAGCAGATAAAAGAAGCTTGTGGAAAATATGACTGGCTCCAATAAGCTAAATAATAATAAAGCAGCAATTCTATCATTTGCAGCAGGAACTCAATGGTGAAAATGTGCACTGGTAAGAAGCATGTGATGATTCAAAAAGTGACAAGTCAACATGAAAAATAAAGACTAGGGGTCAATTCTAGTCACCTCGACATTCCTAAATGGTTCTGGCTTGGATGTTTTGTTCTAAGTTGTTTAATTGGAACAAAACTTTTACATTATATGGATGTTCTTTAAACTTTGAAATGATTCTGTACATTTGAGCTCCTTATTTACAAAAATAATTCCTTAAATAATTATGGAAAGTGTGTCATCTCTCCAAAGAACACTTAGCCCTTTCATTTTTTCAGAGCTCTCAAACTTCCATATCCCACTGCTCCCCCTACAACATCTCTGTATGCATGTGCATCTGATTTGTCTGGTCCGGGGAGGTCGACCCATGTCTGGATGGCATGCTGTTCTTAGCCCAATCACCACCCAGAAGCCTGGAGTAATGGAGACACACAGCAACCACAGGCCTGATCAGAGCTGACAGCAACCTGGCAGCAGTTAGGCGGGCTGGGGCATCCTCATCATTATCCCTTCTCTCACTCCCCACTGAGCTCCATTCTACAGGAGGAGAGGAGCCTGCTGGGTGGCCAGAGACAAGTGACCCTTACACACTGCTGAGAAAAAGATGCTAATTATAGCTGCTGTAAGGAATACAATGGATTGATGCATGACAATGGAAAGAAGGACATTTATGTTGCACTGGGTTGGTGTAGCAAATTTAGGTTTAAGACTTTAAGAAAGTGACATGAGTGTGTTCAGTCTTACACCACTGGTGGGGTTAATTGTAACAGACAGTGTAGTAAATCGATGCAAAACACAATTAATACAA